TAGCATAATAATTGTTTCCAAACTAGCAACGAGACCTGGACAAATGGTTCAGAGTCAAAAATGTAAATCCTACTAATTGAGGAAATTATATTCAATATTTTATAATATAAAATCTTGACTGGAAAATAAGTAAAAGTGATGATGGTCATAAAACTGCCAAGATATTGTTTAAAGCCCATCTGGTTCACTATATATCAATTAGGAAAGAAAATGTGCACTTATCCACACTGGCATTTTTGTGATTTCAGACCTACAGCAACGTGACTGATTATTAATTGCTGTCTGAAAATGGCCTAGCAATACCTCCGTTGTATTTAAGAAGGTGGCTCGTCACTGCCTTCTCAAGGACAAACAGGAATGGACAATGAATGCTGGCCTTGCCAGCAACACTCACATCCTGTGAATAAATAATCAAAAAAGGCAGGCTCTGGAAAGATTCCCACCCACCTATTTCTTACTGAGAAGACTACCAAATGCAGAAGCGCTTATAGAGAAAAAGACAGTTTAAAATAAGTGAGTGTTATACATGATTTATTACACTATTCATACAGGCCTCATATCTTATGAATGACATTGCCATAAATGAGTTATGTAAGTCTATGTCCTCAATTTGAGGCACCAGGGGTTTGGTTAAGCAAAAAGATGGAAATGAGAGACAGATATGGTAAGCTGATTAGCATCCTAAAGAGTTAACTAGGTCAACCCAGGTCTTTCACCAAATGGTAACACCAGAGATGTTAAAGTTCATCTTTTGACTGACCATTGACTGACCCAGATTCCAATGTTCCCTGTATTCATCACTTACTCTGTGGATTGTCTACTCTTGCACTGGATTTTTATTGCACCACCCTTGACATCTATACCTTTGTCACTTAAAAGTTAAACTTTGGAATTCCCTCCTTAGATCTACATCTCTTGCTACTTCAGTCCCTCCCTCTTTTAACAACCTTATTAAAACCTATCTCTCTGACCAACCTGTTCTTACAAGTATGAAGTTTATGGAATCATCATAGAATCCCTACAATGTGGAAGCAGGCCATTCATCCCGTCGAGTCCACACTGACCCTCCAAAGAGCATCCCAGCCAGACCCACCCCACTACCCACAAAAACAGAAGTTGCTGGAAAAGCTCAGCAGGCCTGGCAGCATCTGTGAAGAAAAAAATCAGAGTTAACGCTTCGGGTCCAGTGACCTTTCTTCAGAACTCTATTCTCACATATGCTGCCAGACCCGCTAAGCTTTTCCAGCAACTTCTGTTTTTGTTCCACCCCACTACCCTAACCCCATAACCTTGCATTTCCCACGACCAATCCACCTAACCAGTACATAGAGTCATCGAGCACAGAAACAGACCCTTCAGTCCAACTCATTGAGAGGTGATGTTTTCTCCTGTTGTCTCACTTGACACAGCTTGAAGTATCAAGTACCCCCTGCATCTTGGTTAAATCGCCACTTGTAACATCTTTGGATTTCTACTTATGTTTTGAGACTGGGTCTTTAATTTGACATAAAATAAAAGGAGTGATGTGATCGGCTGCTTTCAATTCTGGTGGGTTTGATTGTTAGAGATCAAGGGAAGACTTAGTTTCGTTTATAGGGAAGAAAATGCAAGGTGTTGGAGACAATTGCAGCAGCTTATGCACTAATGGGAATGCTGTGAATTTCCAATATCTTAGAAAAGAATGAGAATGTTGGATTGCAAAGCTTATGTTTTAAATTGTCCCTTTAGTTCCAACAAGAAAGAGAGTTTTGCTGGCTGATTCGCATTGCTACCTGGATACAAGGCCAACGTGATTCAAATTGCCTTGGAAATGGATTTTTCAAGGGAAAGGATTTCTAAGGATATCTTTGATAACTCAAAGAGACAGTGAGTCTGGCAGGATCGGGAGGTGGAGGACAACTCAAGGCAACAAGACACTGTGGCTCACTGTGCAGGAATGCAGGGGGAACTAACATTGGACAGCAAAGGTCAAATTTGTGGGGAGCTGAAAGGTGTCCAGAGGTGATGGTGACAGCAGCAGTAAGGATGTCCTCTGGCATTCAGGGCTGGCAGTAGCAATGGTGGCAAAACTACTTCAGTGATTGGAGGTGGCGGCAGCAGCAGACTTTACAAGTTGGCGGCACTGGCAGAGGTGACATCTCGGAGGAGGGCAGCCAGAGAGGGACTCTTGACGAGACGGTGGCGGCGGCCTGGTGGGGTTAGCAGAGCCAGGGCCTCCTGGTTGCAGTAGGCTCAGAGCAGGGACTATTTGTGTTGGTAAGGTGTCAGCAGGGTCGGGGACCCCTGGTTGCGGGGCAAGCGTGAGTTCAGCACAGGGCCCAGCATTGGCATCAGCAGCAAAGAGATGGTGACTCTTACGATGGTGGGTCCATCGCAGGTGGTGGCGAGGTGGTGGAGGAAGGGTGGCAGTGCAGGTGTCGTTACTGACCCAGTTCAGGACTCAGGATGCTCTTTCAGTTATATCTTTTATCCTGTTTTCTTTTATTCTTAAACTATTCAAAATGGTACCGGATTGTGGCAACTGTGTTTTACTGCATGGTTTACTGTAAAAGATAAGTGACAACAAATAAATCATTCATCCATCATTCAAGATTTGCCTAACTTGGATGAGATGGAGAAGTATTCAAGAAACTTGCATTGTGAAAGCCTTGCCCGGAGTTAAACATTGCCAGGCTGGGGAACAAAAAAGATCAGAAGTTACTCAGCTTCTCCCCTTCACCCGTTCTTTCCCCACATCCCTGCAAATTATTTTTCTTCAGCTGCTTATCTGACGCCCTTTTCAAAGCCCTGATTGTATCTGTCTTCCAGGTTGTGAATTCCAAATCCAGATTTCAGTTCAGATGATAGACTAAAGAACCACAACCTGCATGAGCCGAAGCAGGCCATTCAGCCCATCAGGTCTGCATGGTCATTCAGTGAGATCATGGCTGATCTGATAATCCTCAAATGCATGTTCTTGTCCATCACCCTTAATTCCCTTACTAATTAAAAAATCTGCCTATCTTGATTTTGAATTGACTTAATGACCCAGCCTCAACAGCTGTAAAGAATTCCAGAGATTCATTACCCTCTGAGTGGAGAAATTACTTCTTATCTCTGTCTTAAATGTGCGATCCCTTGTTCTGAGATGATGCCCTCTAGCCCAAGAATCTCCCACAGGAGGAAACAACCTTTCTGCATCTACCCTGTCAAGTCCCCTAGCATTCAATAAGGTTGCCTCTCATTAATCTAAATTTCAATGAGTTCAGGCCAACCTACTTAATCTACCCTCATAAGAAATTCCTGTTTGATTACAGTCAGAAGTCACATAACACCAGGGTATAGTCCAACAGGTTTATTTGAAATCACAAGTGTTCGGAGCTTGTGTTTTCAAACAAGCCTGTCAGACCATAATCTGGTGTTGTGTGATTTCTGACCTTGTCCACCCCAATCCAACACTGGCACTTCCATATCACGTTTGATTATATAAAGTGGGTGAAACATTCAAGAGATTCATGAAATGATCGGGTCTTAAGGGGTTAGATGCTGAAAACAGATTACAGAATAAATTGGCACTCCCTAGAATAAAGCAGATTAGGGAATCTAATTGAAGCATTTGAGATGATTAAAGGTGAGATGACATGGTGAAAAATTTCCACTGGGCCAGGAATTCAGGCTGCATATCTTAAAATTAGAATTAGGCTTTATAGAGGTAATCTCAAGGAGATATGGCTTTATTGAATGGCTGAGGGAGTCTGAGGGGCTGAATGGCCTGATTTCCTTCTTATTTTCTATTGAACCTGGCTGTACAGAGGCCAAGACTATTTCCAGGTGCTAAAACTATGGCAGATGGATTTTTTGTGTACATTTATTTTATCTTAAGATAATGATGCCAGTTTCTCTGACAGAAAATGGTTCCTAAACAGTTGTACAAATCTGAATAAATGCGAGTAAAATGGCAGCTAAAACAATGAGGCTTTTATTCTGTTCAGAAAGCTTCCCTGAGACCTTTGGAGGTAAAGACAGAAATCATAACCACTGCTGTACCTGGAACAAAAGTGTTAGAAACACACAGCACGTTTGAAGAATGATCTCACTTGTTTCTCTTTCAAATAATTAAGGATTGACCTACATTTCAATCCTGATGCCTTTTGCTTTTATGGCTTAATTTAGTTGATTTTGTTCGATCACTTGGGGCCGGTGCTGCTTCAGCTCATCTTCTGCTTGAATCTTCATCAGTGACTGTTCAAACACCAGCCTTGGTTCAGCTGGTAACATGTTGGCTCAACTGCGCATCCCAGAAATTGAGCACAAAACCAAAGACCCTAGTGCAGATGGACAGGAATGCTGCTCTGTTAGAACTACTGATTTTCACATGAGATACTTTGGCAAATCATGCTTGCATAACTGTGAAGATCAGGGGGAGCTGAAACATTGATAAATTAGAAGTCTTATTAAAAGACTAATGCCAAGAGATGCTAGCCAGAACGGTTGGAAATAGTCATTTGGCAGCCAAGGATGTGGAGAGGCAGTGGCTTACTGATAATGTCATTGTGCCGGTATTTCAGAAGCCCAGTGCATTATCCTGGGGACATGAGTTCAAATCCTAACATGGCAGGTGATGAAATTTGAATTTGATTAAAAATAAGATTCTGGAATTTAAGAAAAAACTGGTCTAGCGTCCTCCATATAACAACTTGCAACTTTTTTTTTTGAAATTTAACCAATTTTGCTAATCAACCTGTTCAGAGATATTATTACACACTTCTGGAGCAGCTGGGTCTTAAACCCAGATCTTGCAGTCTAGGGGGAGGGACACTGTGGCTACACCACAAGAGGGCCCTCATTTCTTTGTTTCCCTGACAATGGATTCATGGTCATCATTAGACTCTTAATTCCAGACTTCTAACAAATTCAAATGCCACCATTTGCTATGGCATGATTCGAAAACAAGCTCTCAGGACATTACCTGTGTGTCTGGATTATTAGTCTCGTGATAATACCACTAGGCCATCATCTCCCCTAATATGGACCCCTTCACAAATCTGAGTCATCCTTGTGCAGGGGTCGTGCTAATCTTCTCTGGTTCTTTGCAATTTTTGTCGATGAGCTGCCAAAATTGTTCTATGTGAAAAGACCATCTGGTGCATTGATGTCCTCATGAGAAGGAAATCCTTACATGGCCTGGCCGACATGTGACTACAGACCACCAGTGTTTTTTTTTGACTCTTAACTGCCTTCTTGGCAAATAGGGTGGAAGATAACTGATAGCCTAGCCAGTGACATGGACATCTCAGGAAATAATATAAAAACTTGAGTATTTCTGGAAAGGTACATTCTTTTGAGGCTTCTCATTTTGCACTAGCCAAGACAATTTGTAAGAATGAACACAGCAGGCCAAGCAGCATCAGAGGAGCAGGAAAGCTGATGTTTCGGGCCGAGACCCTTCTTCAGAAATGGGGGAAGGGAAGGGGATTCTGAAATAAATAGGGAGAGAGGGGAGGCAGGTAGAAGATGGATAAAGGAGAAGATGGGTGGAGAGGAGACAGACAGGTCAAAGAGGTGAGGGTGGAGCCAGTAAAGGTGAGTGTAGGTGGGGAGTTAGGGAGGGGATGGGTCAGTCCAGGGAGGACGGACAGGTCAAGGGGGTGGGATGAGGCTAGTGGGTAGGAGATGAGGGTGGGGCTTGAGGTGGGAGGAGGGGATAGGTGGGAGGAAGGACAGGTTAGGGAGGCGGGGACAAGCTGGGCTGGTTTTGGGATGCGGTTGGGGGAGGGGAGATTTTGAAGCTTGTGAAGTCCACATTGATACCATTGGGCTGCAGGGTTCCCAAGTGAAATATGAGATGTTGTTCCTGCAAACTTCGGGTGGCATCATTGTAGCACTGCAGGGGGCCCAGGATGGACATGTCATCTAAGGAGTGGGAGGGGGAGTTGAAATAGTTCGCGACTGGGAGGTGCAGTTGTTTGTTGCGAACCGAGCGTAGGTGTTCTGCAAAGTGGTCCCCAAGCCTCCGCTTGGTTTCCCCAATGTAGAGGAGGCCACATCTGGAACAGCAGATACAGTATACCACATTAGCAGATGTGCAGGTGAACATCTGCTTGATGTGGAAGGTCTTCTTGGGGCATGGGATGGGGGTGAGGGGGGAGGTGTAGGGGCAGGTGTAGCACTTCCTGCGGTTGCAGGGAAAAGTGCCGGGTGTGGTGGGGCTGGTGGGGAGTGTGGAGCAGACAAGGGAGTCACGGAGAGAGTGGTCCCTCCGGAAAGCAGATAAGGATGGGGAGGGAAAAAGGTCTTTGGTGGTGGGGTCAGATTGCAGATGGCGGAAGTGTCGGAGGATGATGCATTGGATCCGGAGGTTGGTGAGGATAAGGGGGATTCTGTTTTGGTTGTTATTGTGGGGAGGGGTGTGAGGGATGAGTTGCAGGAAATGCGGGAGACACGGTCGAGGGTGTTCTCGACCACTGAGTGGGGGATGTTGCGGTCCTTGAAAAATGAGGACATCTGAGACGTTCGGGAGTGGAATGCCTCATCCTGGGAGCAGATGCAGCGGAGATGAAGGAATTGGGAATAGGCGATGGCATTTTTGCAGGAAGGTGGGTGGGAGGAGGTGTATTCTAGGTCGCTGTGGGAGTCGGTGGGCTTGAAATGGATATCGGTTTCCAGGTGGTTCTGGGCCTCCTGCAGTGCCACTACGATGCCACCCGAAGGTTGCAGGAACAGCAACTCATATGCCGCTTGGGAACCCTGCAGCCCAATGGTATCAATGTGGACTTCACAAGCTTCAAAATCTCCCCTCCCCCAGCTGCATCCCAAAACCAGCCCAGCTTATCCCCGCCTCCCTAACCTGTCCTTCCTCCCACCTATCCCCTCCTCCCACCTCGAGCCCCAGCCCCATCTCCTACCTACTAACTTCATCCTGCCCCCTTGACCTGTCCGTCCTCCCTGGACTGACCCTATCTCCTCCCTACCTCCCCACCTACATTCACCTTTACTGGCTCCACCCTCGCCTCTTTGACCTGTCTGTCTCCTCTCCACCTATCTTCTCCTTTATCCATCTTCTACCTGCCTCCCCTCTCTCTCTATTTATTTCAGAATCCCCTTCCCCTCCCCCATTTCTGAAGAAGGGTCTCGGCCCGAAAAGTTAGCTTTCCTGCTCCTCTAATGCTGCTTGGCCTGCTGTGTTCATCCAGCTCTACACCTTGTTATCTCAGATTCTCCAGCATCTGCAGTTCCTACTACCTCTGAAACAATTTGTAAGAATAGACAGGGTGTCTTTTTCTCACCAATAGTCAATTTCTGCTCGAAATGTATCAAATGAGCTGTGTTCGGGAGTTAAATTGAGTTCCCTGCTTGCTCTCCCAACTGAACGCAAAATATTACTACTTCAGAAAAGATAATAAGAGTGATTCCCAGTGTTCTGGCCAATCAACACCAGAACACATGCTATCATTCACCATCACGTTGCTGCTTGAGGGAGTTTGCTGTGTTCAAATTGGCCACTGTGTCTCTTAGCTTACAACAGTGTCAACACTTCCAAAGGATTTTGGGTGCTGTGAAGCACTTTGAGATGTTGAGGGGTCAGGAAAGTGCAATGGCATAAAATCATAAAAGGTCTACAGCACAGAAAATGGCCTTCTGTCCATCAGTCTGCGTCAGTCGGTGTCAATGCAAGACTTTCTTTCTTCACCTCAAAACACAGTTATTCCAACACCCTGATGACTAGCCTCCCCTTTTCCACTCTCCATAAACTTGAGAACTTCTGAAATTCTACAGCCTGTATCTTATCTCACGGCAGATCCTGTTCACCCGTTACCCATGGCTGCACTGGTTCTCAGCCTGGCAACACTGTAATTTTTAAATTCTCATCCTTTCTACAAATCCCTCAGTGGACTCTATACTCCCTACCTCTGTAACCTCCATCCGTGCTACAGTCCTGAGTAATCACTGCTATCATCCAATTCTAGCATCTTACATGTCCCTAAGTTCAAATGTTCCAGCATTGATAGATGTGCCTTCATGAGGAATTGGAGTTTCAAATTGGAGTTTGTTTTGGAATTTCCTCATGGGATGTTGGTGTTTCTGGTTAGGGTCAGGTTTTATTGTCCATCCCTAAATACCCAAATGGCTGTTAATGAACTATAATGCTGTAGGTAAGGAGTCACATACAGACCAGGCAAAGATCCCCAAAAGGCATTTGTGAACCAGGTGGGTTTTTACAACAACAATTAGAATGACTGACTTTTTTTTTAATTTCAGAGTTTATTGAATTCAGATTTCACCAACTTTCAGGTCCCAAGGATACTGGCCTCAGTCACTCTTGCTAATCCATGACATTGCCATTACACTGTGTCCCCGGACCATGCCACCAGAATATCTCTTTGCTGTTGTTGTAAAGATGCAGGTATATGGTGGTCTTGATGGCGGTGTAGAAATATCATCAAAATCTGCATCAATCATTTACTGCGCAAATCTGTTTAATTTGCTCAGGGGAGGGATGTGTGATTACCTCTGTCCCCCAGCCTCCCAATCAATCTCTCTCTCTCCCCTCACCTTCTGCATTCCTCCACCTCTCCCTCCCTCCAGGTTTCCCACTCCAGTCCAATCCATCATTTATTCTCACTCACCTTCTCCACCTTCCCTCTAGCTCTCATTCACACTATTGGTCTTCCTTTTTGCCCCAATAGCCTCTTCTCCCATCGCCTCCCCCTCCCACTTTCCTCTCCTCTATCCCCCTTTCTGCACCTTCAAACTCCTTCCATCCACGCCCTCTCTCCTTGACATCCACATCCTCCCTGCCCCTCTCTCCCTCACTCACTCTTTTCCTCGCTCCGCCTCTCCACTTCCCCACCTCTCCTTTCACTCTTTGCCCTCCTCTCACCCTCATTCTCTCCGCCTCTCTTACCACATTCCCCCTCCAATACCCCTTCCCTCCCCCACTTACAACCCCTTACTCCATATCTACTCCACTATACCTTTTCCACCTGCCAATCCCACCCTCCTACTCCCTTGCCTGCATTTCTCTGCTCTCTGCCTCCAGACTATCTCTATCCCCAGCCCTACCCTTCTTCTCCTCAGCTCCCTTTCCTGCCTCTCCCTCTATCCTACCTTCCTCCCTCCCCTTCCATCCCCTCCCTCCATCTTCTCTCACTATTCTTCCTCCTTGCCCCCGCTCCCCTCGTTTCTCCATCCCTTCCTCCCTCCTCTCCTCCTCCTACGTTTGTCATCACTCTCCCAGCCTCCCCTGAACTCCTTCCCTCCCTGTCCCTCACTCACTCCTCCCTTCCACTCACCATCCTTCTTCACTCCATCCTACCTTCCCCTCCTTCCCCATTTCCTTTCCCTTTGATACCTATCCTTCCTTCCACTCTCCCTTCCTTCTTCAATCTCCATCCATATACTCTCCTTCACCTTCTTTCCCTCCTTTCTCCCGCTGTATCCTTCTTTTCCACTCCCTATATTCCTCCTTGCCCTCTCCACTCTGTTTCCCCTCTCTTTGCCCTCCTATTTCAGAGCCTTCCTATTCAACCCACCCTCTTCTCCCTAACCCATCCCTCCTCTCCCCTCCCTGCTACTTTCCCCTTACCATCCTCCATTCACATATTCCCCTTCCCACCCTCCCCTCTTCCCCCTTCCCTTTCCCTCCCCCTCCCTTCCCTTTTTCTTCCCCCTCCCTTCCCTTCCCCCTCCCCTATTCCCATCCCTCCTTCTCCCTTCCCCTCCTCTCAATGCGCCTTTTCAACCTCTTCTCTATCCCTTACCCTCCTCCCACATCCCTTTCCCTCATCCATTCTTCCACCGTCTCCCTCCCTCCCATGCCCCTCGCTTCCCCTCTTCCTCTCCATTCCTCCCAACTCCTGTTCCGTCTCCCTCCCTTCCCCTCCTGTCCATCACTTTCCCTCTTCCTCCTCCTCTCCATTCTTCCCTTCTTCTCCCCAATCGCCTCCTCCTCCATCCCACCATCCTCCCCATCCCTTCTTCCTCCATCCCTCCCTCCTCCCCATCCCCTCCTCCTCTAGTCCTCCATCCTCTCCCATACCCTCCTCCTCCATCCCTCCGTCCTCCCCCATACCCTCCACCCCATCCACCCTCCTCCCCATCCCCTCCTCCTCTAGTCCACCATCCTCTCCAATCCCCTACTCCTCCATCCCTCCCTCCTCCCCATCCCCTCCTCCTCCATCCCTCCGTCCTCCCCATCCCCTCCTCCTCCATTCCATCCCCTCCTCCCCATCCCCTCCTCCCCATCTCTCCCTCCTCCTCCATCCTCCCCAATCCCCTCCTCCCCATCCCCTCCTCACCATTCCTCTCTATCCCTCTGTCCTCCCCATCCCCTCCTCCACGATCGCCTCTTCCCCATCCCTCCCTCCTCCTCCCCATCCCCTCCTCCTCCATCCCTCCGACCTCCCCGATCGCCTCCTCCTCTCCTCCTGGTTGTGATCTGCACAGGACCCATAGACACAGCCAATCGGGGCTGAGTTGCAGTGACAGCCCCTTTGCCTGGAGCAGCCTATGGGCTGTGGGCAGTGAGATTTGGTGGGTGGGGGGAGCGCTGAGAGCTGCAGCTCACTCCCTGACTCAGAGACACTGAATGAGAGAGAGAGAGAGAGACTGAGTAGGCGAGGGGCTGGGAGGCGGGGGTACATTGCAGACACTCACAGCTCGCTACTGAGTCAGGGGGAGGGAGGGGAAGGAGGAGAGACAGAGCGGAAAAGAAGGACAAATGAATCCTGGAACCAGTGAGGCTTAATCTGAAGGATGGTCAGAATAATTCGTCACTGTGTGGGAGAAAACAGCAGAATGCTGTGAAGGTTCTGGGATCTGGACTGCGATCCAGCGTGAGGAATGGCTAAGGAGAAGCCTGGACCTCAGCTCTGAGCAAAGCCATTCCCAGGCACAAGCCACGGTGAGTGTCCTGGAAAACATATAATGTGTCGGGGGCGTTCTGAATCATTGTAGAGAGCCCAGAAACGGGGAAGGGGAAATAATCAAGGGAAGAAACAAGTACATTTTTTTGTGTATCAGATTGGAACAAGTGTGTGAGCGTTCAATGATTTGCGGAGGGTTTGGGAAGGGGTAGGGGATTAATCGAAACGTTTTAACAAAAGTGGGTTTGAGGGGCAGTTTAGCTCCATTGGAGATGAATCCATTCACATCTGACGGAGCATTTTGATTGCAGTGCAGGAAGGTCTAAATAGCCAGCTGATGTACACTAGGTTCAGTGCAATCCTTCTGCAGTTTCCCCAGCCTTCAGTGTTACCATTTAGCTCTGTCAGCCCAGACTGTCACTGAACACCGCTGCAGGAATTGCGAGGTCAAAAGAACACGTTTCTCTCTCTCTCCTCCATCTCTTACGGGACAAACACGCGAGGGGTTCCCTGAGTCAGATGTAACGGTAACATAATTATGTATCACAGAGAAGAGAGAGCAACTCTCGGAAGAGGAACCCATGGCTTGTAACAATTTGAGGGTCTTGTGAAACAGCCTTCTGTACTGTGCCCTGGTGGTCTGTCTGAAGAAAATTTAAATCTTTGCAAGGTGCAACTAGGAGGGGCGGTCTCAGGGGCTTATAGTTAGGACAAGGGAAGTGGGAGGCAGTGATGTGCAAATCTTAGCTTTTTCAAATGCAACGTTAGTCTTAATTAAGTTGTTTTAGTTTTAACTGTCGTGGTTTACTATCCACGTAGCGTGTGGGTAAGATATTCGTGAGCTTGTGCTGTCTGAGGCTGCGTTCATGGGCTGTGTATGTAGGTGTCTCTAGGACAGTGCGTCCGCATTCACTGATGAATTGCTGTGTGGATGGATATGGGCACTTGCAGTGTGTGTGGGTGGGTTGGTGTTTGTGTGTGTGTGTGTTTATGTGTGTGTGTGGGTGGGTTGGTGTTTGTGTGTGTGTGTGTTTATGTGTGTGTGTGTGGATGGGTGTTTGTGTGTGTGTGTTTGTGTCTGTGTGTGTTTGTGGGTGTGTTTGTGTGGGTGGGTGTTTATGTGTGTGTCTGTGTGTGTGTTTGTGTGGGTGGGTGTTTATGTGTGTGTCTGTGTGAGTGTGTGTGTTTGTGTGGGTGGGTGTTTATGTGTGTGTTTGTGTGGGTGGGTGTTTATGTGTGTGTCTGTGTCTGTGTGTGTGTTTGTGTGGGTGGGTGTTTATGTGTGTGTCTGTGTGTGTCTGTGTGTGTGTTTGTGTGGGTGGGTGTTTATGTGTGTGTCTGTGTTTGTGTGTGTTTGTGTGTGTGTGGGTGGGTGTTTATGTGTGTGTCTGTGTGTGTGTTTGTGTGTGTTTGTGTGTGTGTGGGTGGGTGTTTATGTGTGTGTGTGTGTGTGTGTTTGTGTGTGTGTGGGTGTTTGGTGTACGGGTGTGTATTCGAGTTTGTGTGTGTGTGTGTGTGTTTGAGAGAGAGAGAGAGAGAAAGAGGATGTTTGAGTTCCCCTCTTGTGTGCGCAGGATTATCTGCTGCTCAGTGAGTGTGTGAGGCTTAGTGCGACCAATGTGGTGACTTCGTGTGTGGGCAGCACATGCACATGGTGTGTCAGTGCCTGGGTGTGTCAGTGTAGTGTCAGCGTGTGTTTGGGTCCGTGGGTGGGTGCCTGACTTTGGGAGTCTGACTGCATATATAGCCTCCATTTCCTGAGCTGTGGAACCCCCTCCATCCGAAAGGATGAAGGAGACGGATTCAGAAGTAACTTTCAAAAGGTAATTATGTTCATTCTGGGGAAAAAAAGAAGAAACAGTAGGGCCAGGTGGTGAAGGAGTGGGAAAGAGGGGGGACTAATTCTGCAAACAGCTACCCATTGGTTTGGTGGGTCGATTGGCCTCCTGCTCTGTATCATTCTACACGCATGTTACCCTGTCCCTGTGGCCAGTTCTGTGAGTGCACTTGTGTGTGCAAATGCGCAAGGTTTACATTAACAGTGGGTCCCCTGTAGGTAAATTGCCAATTGTATGTAGCTATTGGCCTATGTGCGTACATTGGTACACTTCACACACACACACACATAAATATGTATGCTTGTTATTGTAAACATTTATATGCTAAATGTGTGGGTGTATAGGTTAACGTGCATATGGATGCTTGTGTGTATCGGTGTATCCCAATATGTTAGTGTTCGGGTATCTGTGTACATGTCGTCTGCACGTAGTTCTGTGGATTTGCTAGTGTGTGTCTGTTTGCGCATTTGTGTTTGCTTAATAACTTGTGTTAATACATGTTAAAATATTGCAGCGAGGATTGTCCCTCTCCAAGCTAAAGTTAGTGAAAGGTCTCCCCAGCAAACAATGTCAATATTGGGATTTTGTATCAAAAGTGAAGTTGAATGTGAATTAAATTGGTACTGAATATGGTGAATCCAAGATGGTAACAATAAGAAAAAACGGAGAGGTTTGGTATTTATGACTATCCTCATAGCCTCAATGACCCACAGTGTTTCAGAAACAAATAAGTACTTTATTTTCAATTGTGGCCACTGGTTTGATGCGTGGCTGCCATTAACAAAATAGATAAGAAGGCAGATCACCTCCTTCTCAAGGGCAACTAGGGATGGGCAATAAATGCCCATTTCTGAAGAAGGGTCTAGACCCGAAACATCAGCTTTCCTGCTCCTCTGATGCTGCTTGGCCTGCTGTGTTCATCCAGCTCTACACCTTGTTATCTCAGATTCTCCAGCATCGGCAGTTCCTACTATCTCGGTGACACTCACTGCTTTTTTAGTTTTTTAAAAAAATACCCCAAAACATAAAGTTACACCAAACAAACAGAGGATGTTGCAAAACTTCAGCAGGTCTGGCGGCATCAATGGAGAGAGAAACAGTTAACACTGTGAGTCTGCTATGCCTTCTTCAGAATAGTTGTTTTTCGAACGGTTGTAGAATAGCTATATAACTGTTGTAGTACTGAGGGACCCCTACAATGTAAAGATGTGTTCTTTTGGATGGTCAACTTGGATTTAGACCACCCTCACAGGTGGAAGTTAAAGATCACACGGCGAGCAGGGAAATTATCCCGAGTCTCCAGGCCAATAGTTATCCCTCAATGAGCGACACAGAAGCAGGTTCCCTTGTCAGTATTGCATTTCTGTTTATGGGAGCCTTGCTGTGTGCAAAGTCACTCTTAATAACAGCAGTGACTACACTTTGAAAAGTATTTAATTAGCTGTAAAGCACTTTGGGATGCCCTGACGCCTTGTGGAAGCGGCTATATAAACAAATAAAAACAGAATGTGCTAAAGAAACTCAGCAAGTCAGGCAGCGTCTGTGGAGAGAGAAACAGTGTTAACATTCCAAGTCTGAAATGGCTCGTCTGCAGAATTTGTATCATATCTTAGCTTCTATGTAAATACATGTTATTCCATGTGAGTGGAACCTATGTGAGTGCTTAGGGAAAAAGAGACTTCGGGAGAAAATACTGCGAGTGATAATGCTCACTAGTATCTTTCTTTGGATCCAGGTACCTGGATTATGATGTGTGTAGTAGTGGGAAGGGAAATATAATGTTGTATTGATCCTGTGTGTTTGAGTCTTCATATCTGTGTACTGAAGGGAGCGCAGATGTTTATCTCTGCATAGCGATGTGTGGGATGGTGTATTTGCACACTTGCTTAACAATCATCTCACTTCGATAGGCTAACCTCAGCGTCCTCTCCTCCCAATACCACACTTGATGAATTATAGCGTTGCGGTTGTGACGGAAACTGTGTGGCTGTTTGTTCTAAATGAGCTCGTTTTGCTTTTGCCAATTGATTTCGTAAAAAGCCTTCAAGTTATGTCTTTATCTTATACATGCTGTTGCATGACCCTGACATTTTATTTGCTGTACAAAGATAAAATTCGTTGTTCAAACTTATATATAAGTCCCTAACGTCTTGGGGCAGTATTTATCGGAAAACTCTTTGAATCAGTTACCATGTCACCAACTAAATAACTTGTTTTCCCTCCAATGCTCTCTACTATTAAGGTAAAGATAGTGAGGGATTACACGGGTGCAATTTGCTCCCTCGAGTAGCCATTCTGATAAGGCTGCGAGCACTTAACACTTGCTGCAATGTCATCTTGATGACTTTGTCTTGTTCAAAGACCCTTCAAGGACTATGTCCTCTGAGTCTTGCCTTGTGCCAGCTGTAGCTCAGTAGACATCCGCTTTTGAGTCAGAGCATTGTGAGCACAAATCCAGCTCTCAGTAAAGCTAAACAAAAAAAGAATCAAGGCTAACATTTCAATGAAGGAGCAGCGCACTGTCAGAGTTAGTTTTTCGGAAGTATTACTAAAGCAAGTAACTTTTCGTGCCAATCAGGTGATCATAAAAGATCCCCTGGTACTAATGCAAAGGATAGGAGGAATTCTTCCTGCTGTTCCTGACCAATACTTAGCCATCAACTAATCTCACCAAATTATTAAAACAGATTTTCGGATCATGAGTAGGTGACTGCTTGCAATTTTGCTGCTCCATTTTAACATCAAATTTTAAACTTCTTCATTCTTGGAATATGGACAAGGCCAACACTTATTATTCATTCCTAATTCTTATCGAAAAGACAAAGAGAGGCACCTTGTTTAGTCACTACATCTCGATGGTCCATCTTTTTTTAAATTCGGTCATGGGTCATAGGAATTGCTGGACAGCATTTATTGCCCATCCATAACAACACAGAGGGCAGTTAAGAGTCAACCACACTGCTGTGGGTCCGGAGTCACGTGTAGGCCAGACCAGGTAAGGATGGCAGTTTCCTTCCCGAAAGAACATTGGTGAACCAGATGACTTCTTCCCCCAACAGTGGTTTCGTGATCACTGTTGGACTTGTAACTTCAGTTTTTTAAATTTTCTTTTCCCTTGAGTTTGTATTCCAGCATCTTCCACAGCAGGATTTGAACCCATTTCCCCTGGATTAATAGTGCAGTGATAATGCGACTAGGCT